GAATTCTTCTGGCCCCATTGTATAAGTAGGTACTCAACTGGATTCAAACGTGCGAAATCTGCCAGCGTGTAAAGCCATATCCATCGTCGCAGGCTCTCCTGCGACCGATGCCGATTGCAGCAGAGGCCTGGAGATCAGTTTCGATGGACTTTATCTTCGGGCTTGCGCCCGATAGTCAAGCTCGTACGGGTATACTCATCTTAGTTGACAGATTCAGCAAGATGACCTATCTAGTGCCTGTTCACGCTAAGATCACCGCGGCAGAGACCGCGGCTGTAACGGGCTAGGGACCCGTTCCCGTCTTACACTTAAAGGGCGTGTTATATTTACGAGTTAGTTAGGAAGCTCTCCTAACTAACTCGTAAATATAACTCTGTTCTATTTTTTGATTAATTTTAATTCGCAGTAAGTGCGAATATGTTCCCTAGCTCGTAGGAACCACTCAATATGGAAGTCAATTTATTATTGGCTAATTATTGGGTCTGGCACCCCAATAATAAACCAATAATAAAAATGACGAGCAGTATCCGCTAATCGGATACTGCCCTATGCCTACTTATGTAATTGTGTATTATTCCTATTTTTACTTATGTAATAGGTTGCCCCTTTACAGCGGCGCACTTTATTAAAGCGGAGTTACGTGCCAAAAAACATTGTTTCGGACCTTGATCCGCTGTTCACGTCCTCATTTTACACGTCACTGTTCAAGCTTCTTGGGACAAAATTGGTAATGTCGACTGCAGCCCATCCGGAAACGGATGGACAAGTCGAGCGCGTGAACCGGGTCCTCGAAGACGTTCTTCGGAGTTATGCTACGTCATTTACAAGTTGGAGTGCATTTTCACCACTCGCTGAGTTCGCACTTAAAAACGCCGTACACACGTCAACAGGGTTGACGCCATTTTATGTAAATTCGACTCGTCACCCTCGTGTTCCTACTATCCTTGCCGTGGGGCGACCCACGGCACCTAGTGGCTTCACTCTGGGGGGGGATAAAGGTGATAAACAAGGATCGAGTGCAGCTCACGGTATTTTGAGCGCGAATGTAGTAACCCGATCCAAGACGAAAACTGCTGCTTCGACGTCACGTGACGTGGCGTCCCCATTAGCTCGATGGACTGCGCAGACATTGATTGACCTGTCTTCAGGTAAGCGGTCGCCTACTGCCAACTACGCGCCGATTGAGTCGGCGCGACCAATTGATGACATGGCTGTGTCGGATTTATACTTCAACGTCAGCCACTATCCAGTTTGTACGCGACGCACTACAGTATGCGGTAGACCAACAGAAAGAGAATGCTGACAAACATAGCAGAAAGAACATGAGCAAGTTTGAGAAAGGTTATCGTGTATTATTATCTACGGAAGGTCTAAGGGATTTAGCGGTTACTAACCTAGGCGCAAGTACCACGCTTCATCGGTCCATAAGGCTCTGAAGGAATCGGCGATGCTTATACACTCGACGTCCCTTCGTCATTGCGAATCCATTCGACGTTCTATGTCGGGAAGCTAAAGGAATATCGCCCGGCTACTCTTCACGGGTTGTCTTCGATGCCGGATCCAGAGGTAAGTAGGTCGATTGTCCTTCCGGGAGTGGCTGCGGTACCGTCCGTACACCACCAAGCACCTGGCGCTCCAGAACCCTCACCCGTTCTAGTAGTTCACGATTCGCCTGCGGAGTTTACTCGCAATCTTATCCGCCTTATCAGCACGATCGCTGGCAGCCTTAGCCTCCTGCTGAGCATCGGCAGCTTTGTTCACGGTTTGATCAACATCGTCCTGGGCAACCAGGATACCAGCATTATCATCGCGAGGGCCCACCTCCGCTTAGTGATGCGGAGAGACAGGTGCGCTGGATTGTAGACCGCATTCGGGTCACGAGAACCCTCTTCGACCATTACTACCGTCGGCTCATGAGAAGCGCGCGGTTCCATCCGCACGCAGGTACGAGTACGTTGGCTTGGATTCCCTCCCGTGAAGGATACATGGGAATCGCGCTCTTTTCTCCTTCGTGACGTTCCAAATGTTGTTCAGTCGTATGAGACCATGGAGTCGGGCCATTCCGATGCGAGCGCGAACGCGAACGCTCTCGTGATAAACAAAAACGGTGAGGAGACCCACACCGTCGAGAACAAGAACGATGACGTGATCGGTAACGATTCCGTGAACGAGAACATCGTGGTGAATACATATCATCACAATTGCGAGGTTAGAATCGCGCAACAGAGCGGGCAGGCGAACGTGTCGCTGCCCTGCGCTGATTATTCAGCGGAGATTGACTCCGCTGTCGCGAGCGGTGCTGCCAGCGAGGGCGCACCACGAATAACTGCGCTTCTCCGTTCGCTAAGACTTCGCTCATACTTTGCAATCCAACTTCGTTCGCCTTCGCTCAGCGATATGTCGTCACCATTCGTCATGAGTTGGGCGTGGAGTCGAGTCACAAGATTGGCATCCTTCATTGACATGGATGAAGCAGAGACGGTCCTCATTCCAAGCATTCTCGTACACCCTTTCGCGTAGCGCGCCGATGGAGTGATTGGCGCGAAGCTCCTCTCGATTGGCGAGCCATATTGGAAGATGCTACCATCCTCGGGCGTCCGATTCCAACGTCGGATGAAGGCGCACCAAGAAAGTTGCAGGGCCTCGTATCCGATTACATCAAGACTCTTTCCATGCCGTTTTTGAAAACGACGGAAGTAGTCCCGCATCGTTTTAGTGAGTCCGGAGCGTGAGCTCCGGACAAGTCATACAGTGGCCAAGGTATAAATTGTTACGCCATGATGCTGGTAGTTGCACTCCCGCTGATGGTGCTTGGGAGTGCTGTAGTGCTGGAAGGCGTGTGTTCGGAAATCACTTGTTCGTTTGTGAAGTTTGGGGGTTTCGACAGTTGAGCACTCACGGTTGGTGAGTGCTGTCTTGAGAAGGGGGTGATGTAATGGGCCACATTACACATAACATTAACATGAATAAACAATTACACATGTAGGCAGAGGCTGTGCCGAATAGCGGGTACAGCGTGTCAATTTAGATTGGTTTATTATTGGGGTCTAAAGTACCAATAATAAATTAACCTGAAAATGTGTGGTTCCCGAAAGGTGGGAACACTGTCGTATTTATTACGACTAAATCTTCGTAATTTGTACGAATTAAAACAAAAATAAAAATCAGAGTTAAAAATATTTGATACCTGTTACTTGGGCTTGAGTCTCCCTCAAGTGCACGTGTGAGCTAGTGACGGTACGTTCTAGCCCTGTTACAAAACGGCTATAACGTCACCCTGTTCTAAGGAACTAGGAGGGACTTCTAGTCTACAAGCGATAGATTAAGGTTCATAGAACCAACGCACAGAGTGCAAAAACAAGCTTGGAGCTTAAGGGTTTGAGGAACCAACGCATAAAGTTCACAAGAGAACAAGTCTTATCGAGACTTGAGATATATATGTCGTAATGAGAACTAATCTGCAATATGCATCAAGATTTTATGAATAATCTTACTTTGTGTACCCTACACTAGATTAATTACTATAACAGTAATTATGATATGCGCTTGCTTGTAACTGGATAGGGAATTATCCAATCATCAGTGTATATTGTAATTAATATTACTGTTTCCCTTATGGAACCGATACCGATAGTATAAGGGATAACTAATACCTTATAATATCACTTATCTATAATACCCTTTTAAAAAGGATCAGTAATACTGTAGATATATGCAATAGAGAAACTTCAACCGTTCAATATGATGTTCCAACCGTGGTGTCACCCCGTGACAGGTCTGCTGCAAAATCAGCCAATCCGAATGCCAGACGAGAAGCACTACAGACGAACGACACTATTTTTATACTATATAGTCTAGGGTGTTCACCTGTCGTTCCGACGGACATTGTAACGGGCAAATAATTTTACGAGTCCAATAAGTATAAGATTCTTAACGGGAAGGTATGTGGTTGAATGACTTATGTGCTGCTTGAATGCGTCCGCATAAAAGCTATGGTCAGTATAACGATGTCCAGATTCTCAAAAACAAGCTTCATTTTGAGCAATAAAACCGCTGTTATGTACTAGTAGTGTCAAGATTTCTCTTGCGTTATCGCTCCAACTTGTCAGTTGTAGCGTACTGAATGTATAGCACTTATAAGATACCTTCGCCAAGGTAAGTAGTTCCACGACAGATAAGCCAGAAAAGTTCTATGGACTGCACGCCACGCACAAGATCACACGAACCGGCTTTTGGACTAGGGTTTGCAGGCTGAAAGTCACTAATTTTACATTACCTTATACAATTAATAACAATGCTGCTCCTTCGCGGTTACAATGAAAAGCTCTTCTTTACGTAGCCTGTAAAAGTAAATTATTATTTAACAACACAAATCTTTTTTGAATATCTATGATGCGCAAACCCATCGGATTTCGATCGGACGAGATATTGTCCCTCATCAAACAGCATATTTATACCCTCTCCGTCGAGGATCCGGTGACACAATCGGGGCCATGCTATACAAAACACTGTATCCAGAGTACTTTGTTCAGTCCTAAGCAATGGCATGATCAATGCAATGCATCGCGCGTCGACGTAAACCCATCCATGCTTGGTATCGCAATCGGCATAAGACGGAGCTATAGAGTTGTGTCGTTTGGTCAGTCCACCCTCACCACAAATGTTGGCGATAACTTGATACCCACGCAAACAATTGAACAAGATTGTTTTGCCATATAATAATCAACACTCTTCTCCGCAGATCGTCTTTCTCGATGCCGCGTACAGTATCAATTAGATCCGCTATATCAACGTAAGTTGCTGTATCAGTAGTACTGGATATCTGAAGTTTGTAATGTTTTTTGTGATATGCTCGTCTCACGTAACTTTTACTTTGTTTTTGTCGAATACATTGCAGATCACAACCTAACAAACTTCGATTCCCCCTACCAGATGACTACTTTCCCACGGTCAATCTCACGCTATCCCAAGTACAGGAGTACCACGCTCAGGTAGAAGAAATGGTCACCAGTGTGATGGAGTCCTGTAGAGACCACGAGGCTCGCGTTGCTGGCTTTATCCTAGAAGATGAAAGAACCTGGCAAGACGTTGCACATGACTCGAACCTGTCCATCGTGCGTTGTAAGGAAGAAACGATTACTATCACGCGCACGGTCGGAACGGTGGAGGTGGGGTTCCGCCAGTTTGTAGACTTCTTTTCGTCCGAGACATCTGAGCAGCTATTCGCGTGCAACCAGTTTTTCCTTGGTTGTGCAGTTGATGCTGCTGTGCTCTGCAATCTTGACTTGGAAAAGTCAGACAAGCAGGCGATTCTTGGTATCAAATGGACGTGTATGCAGCCTTCAAAGCTCATGCGCAAGCGTGACGAGTGTTTCCTCGAGTACGTTGTGTTCAGAAAGGACGATCAGGGTCGTGACGCCGCAGTGATAGTTCGTTTGCCCGTAAAGATTCCAGAGTGCCCACCACTGCCTAACGAGCTGAAGACCAAACGCGAGATAATCACTAGCGTCACTCTTGTGCGCGCGTCAGACTCGAACCCGAATGCGAGTCAGGTATTCATGCTGAGCCAGTGCGATCACAAAGGGCTTACAGCCTCTACAAAATACTGCAAAAAGCTGCTGCAAGCATTGAAGAATGTCTCTCTTTCCGCTGATGCCAAATGCATTGCCACTGCTATTTGCACGCCTGGATTTGTGGAGAAGTCGCGAGTTGGGAGCGACCTGTTCGCAATAGGAGATTCCATTAAACCTTGGGTGTCCAGCACAGGTGTTCAACAAAACTGCACAAGTTGCTCCAGGCCCTTCCGTAATGGACATAGACGACGTCCTTGCCAGATGTGTGGCGACATGTATTGCTCAAAATGCCTTGTTCGACGAGCTGGCATTCGACAGCCAAAAAATGCATTCAATAATTCTGTTGCGATAGCTAACCAACGGACATTCCGTGTGGCGCTGTCACTATTTTGCAAGACGTGTGTTAACTACTCCCGTGAGGAGAACGCGGAAGCTGTTCAGGACCACCTCGATGCTACTCGTCGGTCTTTGGCTTTGTCACAGTCATCTTCGGTGCACCGCCATTCGTCTATGGGATCTTCCATGCAACCAGCAGGCTCTACTCCGGCGTCGCTATCGACGCGAGGCTCCCAATCTCAACAAAGTGACGCCTCTCGCTGGTGGTCTGACAACGAGTCTGACACGTGCAGTTGGAAGTCAGATTCTGGCCGATTCAGCTCTATGTCGCGCAACTACAGTGTCGCTCCCACTGCACGTTCATCATTTAGTTCTGATTACTCACTGGGCAGGAACTCCTTCTTAACCGTGCAGTCTCTGGTAAATCCGCGCGAAATCGGCGTCGATCGCATTGACGATCGGATTGATGAGCGCTCGAGTATCTACGAGGTGATTGACACGAAAGACATGGTGCCTGAGAGCCATCTGCGAAAACAGCAGTCCGAATTGAAGGACTTGGCAGACGACGACTTATTCAGGGACACCGTTCGCGCTCGGTACACGTCCACGCCTGTAGCTAAGATGGCAGAATCACCACGGTTAAATATCACACGACGCACGCGCAGTACCGACGTGGCTGACAAAACTTCTTCTTCGAGGTCGCTGGATCAGTGCATTGCGGAGCAGAACGAGCTGCTGCAGCAAGTGCTGTCTGCCAGTCGTGGAGTCAGTTCTGAGGCCCAAACACCCAGCACAGCGTCGTCCGTGGCCGGAAGTATTGGTGAAGACGACGACGACGACAGTCACGATGATGGCGTTTTTGAGCTGTAAGTCGAGGCCTGTATCGTGAACAGTAAGACCAACCACTCAACATGCTATGACACAAACCTTGAAACATGAAAAATGGATACATGTAAAGTAGTATCCACAAGCATTCTTGAGTAAGCATTGGATCCTTGTAATGCCACCTGACGATAGCAGGCTCCAACCTAAGGTCATTACAGCACAGATAGTCATGAGGTCGAGTCAAGACTGTACCTTTCGTAGATTCTGCGCAGCAAAGCGTGAGAACTTACGAACCTCACATTGCTTTTCTCGTATGTAGGTTAGAACAAGCAAGCGAGCACTAGAACCTCTTCGATTTCTTCTACGCTAAGACTTTCTTCCCGGCTCCTCGCACGAAGCAAACAAGCACATTACAATAACGATGTAAATGTAGCCGTGTTCGTGGACGCTTGTCACAAATCTCTTCATCCTCTCTATTCTACTAAAATTAGTCGTCTGTCTCCACTGAGGCTTCAGTGGTTTCACCCTCCTCGCTGCACCACTTCCTCTAATGCAATCAATTTCGTCCTCTACTCAAAGTTGCCTTGTGCCTCTACCCCAGCTAAATGTGGTAGATTACTGACGTCCGGCTGTAATGTCGACACAAAAAATAAAATCTCCGGCTCCGTTATCTTGCAGGATTGCTTGTTTTTCCGTTTCAGCGATGCAATTGTTGCTGCTTTTGACATGAGGTCAATTATCGTGTGCACGCGCTATCCATACACGCATTTAACTATGTAAAGGATAATATGACGCCATTGACATGGCCTCACTTGTAAATCTACACGGTCGCTGGAGGGATGTGCGTCAAATATGACCCGTTTTTGACAGCAAAGACCTCCGGGGGCAGACGTCCGGGTTCGCAATAGATGATTGATTTTTACCCTTCACAGTATGCGATGTAGGTCAGTTCGCAAATTTAACGGTAAGTTCAGAATCTTGATTCACTTCTGTTTAGTACTCATTGCCATCGCTGTCACTCTCCTCATGGCTTTGATCGCCATTTCTGCTACATCCAACCAACCAACTTTTGGATGGTACACCGTCCACCAGTAAAGGCATTTTTTGTGAATTTGTATAACAAGTGGTTAGATCTATGAGGATAAGAGAGAAAACAGGACTCCACAACCGACTAGTGATAGAAGAAAGCGCTTGAGGTATTAGTGAACTACAACAGCTGTTAACGGGGCTTCCTGCAAACATTATATATATGACTGAGTGACAACGTACGTTAAACGTAGTATCAGGACTTCGACGATTCTGTTGTTTCAGTGGCCAGGTTCCTTATAACAAGTGATATTTTACCTACAGTATAGACCGTCAAAAAGATATACTTGTACGCTCTGTCCGATATGCGAATGTTTAGATCAATCCCGATGTCGACGACATGAGCCACCTCCTGCTGCTCGAAACAATGAGGAGAATGATCGGCGAGGCGAGTTCTGCCCTGGTGCTTCGGAATCGGCACTGATCGAGTGGCCGGGCTTGTCAGTGGTACTGAACGTTAAGTGCGAAGTGCGATGACTCAAGAGTCAAGTAAAGGCGTCGACGAAGTTTTGATCCGTGCTTATTCAAACAAATGAAGCAAAGTAGAACTCGTTGCCGCTGTGTGAGCTTCAGTACCGAGCATGCCGTGAGCTCCGGCAATTTGGTCAACAATTACAATATATGCCACTGTAATGGCTGCTCAAGTTCGCACTTCGATCGAGATGATGAAAAGCACGACAGACGATTTTCTCGAAGTGTGAAATTTGTGCGTGCGTTCTCGGTCATCCACTGCAGTCTTCGCATCCTTCCAAGCGACGACAAATCATTGATTTCGTTGTTAGTGCGATCTTGAATAGTGTAGACCCTTACTGCTATCCTTAGTTGTGAGCAGGGAGAAGCAATCTCTCCAACAGTCTTTGCTTGGCAATGAACTTGTCAAGCGTTCGCCTTAATGCCGTTTTACTCGAACAAATGGGCTTTTGTCGAAGCTGGCTCCATTTATACTTCGTTGCGTCATTTAGACGCCGGCATGAGGTCTAACATGTTAACGCCATTGCATCTGGCCTTTACCTCATCTTGCTCGCTGCACTCGTCATACCTCGTTTCTTGGCTAGTGCAGCAAATGCACACGTTCACTTGATACCCATATACACTGTAGACATGTAACGGATGTATTCAACACGACGATTTTTCATGAGCTTAAAAAATACAAGAAATTCTGCGAGTCTCGAACCGATGATTGTTTATATCAATAGTCGGAGAGGTCGACTCGTATATTTTCTGTAACAACGAAGGTGTCGCCCTTTGATTTTGGATAAAGGTTCGAGTGCTCGTTGTTGTCCGTGTATTTTGTATGATTCTGTGAAGTCACTGAAGTTAAGAAACTGAAAGGTACCCGAAGTATAGTCAAGTAAGACACACGCAATACTACCAATGGGCCAACTTTGGCGGCCAAATTCGTAAAGAGACGTAACCATAAATTAATACTTTGCTCCTTCGCTCCTCTCTGTATTTCAGAGCTCGTACGAGAATTGCTTTAGTCTTACATGCCATCGCAGCTTAAGTATTTGTAGAGCTTCCAGCACTAGTAGGTAGCATGACAACAAGCCTGAGCTGTGCACGCGCCAAATTGCTTCCGTAGAGAAGGTATTGATAACTGAAGTGTCTAAACGAAATACAAGTGTCAGCGACATTTCGTACAGTAGCTAACTAAACTTATAACACACGAGGAAGGGATCATGCATTTCGTGGTATAATAATAAACTAGATGCATGTAGATAGGTGACTCTATCTTTCAACGGCGTGCTTTGTCAGCGGCAGCAGGAACAGCTCCAAGCCCAGACCAACGCAGTAGACAAGCGACGTGATGATGAAGCACATGCGATAACCATACGCATCGATAAGAAAGCCTCCAAGCACTGCACTACCCGACCAGGAAAACACTGACAAGCTTTCTAGCGCGTTCCAGCGTGCACGAATGTTCTTAGGGACGTAGTCCATCAGAATGGACCGACGCAGAGGTTGTGAGCAGCGCATCATACCACCACGCATCAGGAACAGCACGATCTGCAGAGCCATCGGCTGCGCGTATGCCATTGAAAACAGACACGCCACCGAAAGTGCTCGTGTGGATGCAATAATTGGCATGCGGCCACACGACTTAGACAGTCGCTGTGAAAGGAATGACATGATCATAACAACGAGCGGTTGACTAATGAAGAGCGCGCACATGTGAATCGGCGTAAGTCCATACTCTTCCTTGAAAAAGAGCGGGAAGAAATTGATCGTCATGCCAGCGCCATTGCTAATGATAAAATCCGACATGAACAAAATGTACGGCACGTGTTTAGTGCGGAAGCAGAGAAACCTGGCATCGAGATGGGCCATGTAGCCTTCCTTGTCGTCGTCCACATTCTGTAAGCGCTGCTGACGGTCCACATCTAACTCGTCCGCCGTTTTTCCCTTCAGTAGCAATAGCGCCGTATTCTCCGTGACTGTCGGGGGAGACTTGACATCTACAGTAATGTCGTCTTCGTCCGAGTAGTCGTACACCATGTCGATCTCATTGCCGTTGCCAACAAGCTTTGGTGTGCACAGTGGCGACGGAGGGACCACTTTCTCTAATAAAGTTTCCTTTTCTTTCTCGTCCTTGACCTTGTCCAGCATGAAGTCTTTGGCTCTGTCATCATTGAACTGAAACAAGATGAAGGAGGCAATGATGGCCAACACACAGCCAAATTCGAGCACAGGCTTGAGCTCCGGTAATTGCCACTTGTCTCCGTAAATTAAGAAAAGTAAAATGCTCAGTGCAGGACCCAGCATCTGTGCGAAATTGCTAATATTGTACTTAATCATGAAAGGGAAGCTGCGCTTTCCAGGAGGAATGGAGTCAGCAAACAGAGCTTCCATGGCGGGGCTCTGGAATGCTGCAAACATTCCCCAGATCCCGAAAGCCACGTAGAGACCATTAATGGATGTCATTTCTACTGACAAAAAAGTGATGACTGCTCCAATAATACCAATAGCTCCAGAAAGCTTGAGTATAGTATCTCGACGAATGCGATCAGCAAAATAACCGCCTGGAAGCGAGAAAACGAGCTGTGAAATCCCTTGAATGCCCTTGACCATACCTACAGGTTTGTTAGAAGATGTAAGTACAAATACGTAACCAGCTACAATTTCTTGAAAGAGGATGCTGCAATATAAAGGTAGGTCGCACATGAGAAAAATGATACATTAAGTCAGCAACATGACTACATTTGACATAGCTGTATTATGGCTACAGACCTTCGAGCGGACCAGAAGAAGAGCGTGAGCACGTAAGCAATCCAAACGTTGTGCGTTACACCATTTCTGGACAATAATCTCATATTTTTGCTAGAAAATATAAAGTGAGTGGTAGACATACTAATAGTGTAGTGTCCACCACACTAACCTCATCTGCTTGTTTAAGGGCTTATCTACAAATCAAAATGCAACGTGCAGAGAAACGCGATGACATGGCAGCGATAATAAATCATGCTGCGATACACACTGGCGCAAGCAACAAAGCAAGCTAAGCTATACAGCAAATACACAATTAAAACGCTATGGAAAATAACAAGAGTAGACGTAAGACCTTTCTGGCCCATCTCGCAAAGTAAACGTCAGCAGCAAAAGAATGTCGAGAGGAGATGAATTATCTTTGACAAGATACTAAAAATCTTAGCTATGCATGTGTCGGAGCTGCAAGAGGACAGTGCGACAAACAAAAGCAAATTAATGAATTGCGTAATCAGCGAACCGATGCGCAACGAGCTCATCCCATCACAGCGCTTTCGACAATTCTTTTGATTAAGATTTAATGGGGCGCGAGCTTGAGGCTGTGCACGGTGTTGCCAGTTCGCAAATGAAGCCACAACAAGATCTTCATAGGGCCTAGGAAGATCTTGTTGTGGCTTCATTCGATTGGTCTTGTTATATTAAGCTGACACGGATGTTGCAGTAAATACACCAGCAATTTGACCGCTGCAGGAGCGTGCCAACATTCAGCACCAAAGTAACGAAGAGCAAGAAGCATATAAACAACCGCACAAAACGATCTGATGCTCCAGATGCGAGCTCGCTACGGTGCAAAATCAAATGCACATAGGAGATTTGTTTTAGATAGCGATTGTCGAGTTGGAGAGCTTTGGGAGGCCACGTGCAGCAGTTTAAACATATGAGCAAGAGATTTCTGCCTAAAAGTAAGCGGCAGAATGGTTATTGTAGTGACAAAGTTTGAGGCACGCAGTGTGCCTTATCCACGTATCGTGTGTACAATCGCTCAAGGCTACCGGTTGTTGTGGCGCTAATCTTCCACGCTGATTACCCGAATCTCAATGATGCAGCCAAATGATGACGCCGAATGCGACACGAGTGGAGGTGCATGCTACTACGCTATCAGTGATAGATTAACTCGTCAGCGATCTGTCGCTGCTACTTACTATCTTTGGTGCAACCTTGTCGCACTTTGGCCCTACCACCGCACAATGTCAGCGGTTCATTTAATGTTTCCACTAAGTCGTCACATTCACATCTTGCTAAGATTTATCTTGCTGAAAGACGTCCACAGGGAGTTTCCGCATGTGTCTTCTTAACACAATATCGCATATTGCCTTCTTTCTATTCCTCTTGTCTAGGTGTGGCGCGAGTACCTGATGCTACTTCTAGTTGTCTTGTCGAGCGTGACGATGACCATCTAATCCACAACCCAGCCGAGATAATACTTACCCGCTTAATCCTTCCTTAATTCCAGCAACGACCTGCTCGTACTGCGGAAATTGGGGAATATCTCCCGAGTAAACGAGGCTAGGCGGATTTTGCATGGCCTCCTTCACGACTCGCTGGATATCTGCGGCCTTGACCTGGTCAATCTTAGCACAGACAGACTCGGGCGTCTCACGCTCCCCATACGTAAGTAGCTGACGTCCAATGTCTTCGTATAGGATCATACGGGATTCGAGGTTCATCAGCACAGATGACTTAAGCTGGTTCTTAGCTCGAGCTAGCTCAATGGCATCGACAGATCGATTGGCGACGCTGAGCATTTGATTGCACAACAATGCCACGAGGTTGCTGGTGTGAGAAGGAATACAAGCACCATAAATGCCCAGGAGCCCAACATCTGCATGTATGGACGAGAACGCGAAAGCCGACTCGACCCAGTAGAAGCGGTTCAGAACGCTGGTGTACAATCGCGAATACATCCCTTTCCCTGGACCACCAGCAGAAAAACTGTCACCGCCGCCAAGCAACGTATGCAACACACAGATGGGCACAAGGTCTTCGTCATGCCAGCCGCCCGTTGGAAACGCCAGAGCGGCATATGAAAACTCTGACTCTGGGTTTGGCAGCGGGTACAGGCCTCCCTTGTAGATTACCGGCTCTAAAGTTTCAGGGCTTGAAGGTGTTGCCGTCGGCGCGTTTGCGGGGGCTACAGATACATTTGCAAAGAACTTTTCTGCATATTTGACCAGTAGAGCGTGATAAACACCAGAGCCAGCAAGTACCATTTTCTGAGCGACGAAATGTTCCGCACGAAACTTCTTGACTTTCTCCACTGTCAGTGCGTTTATCTTGTCGAGCGGACATTGAAGCGGCCGTCCAAGTGACGTGTCTGCGCCATAAGCTGCAGCATGGATGAATTCCTGCAGCATAGCCGGTTGATTCTCCATCAAATCTTCCGACTGGATCCGCATGATCGCCTTAATACTCTCCATTTCCTCAGGAATTAGATTCACATTGAGAATAGCATCAGCTAAAAGCTCCAAACCTTTCTCTACATTGTCACGCAGCAGATCAATTGTGTAAATGATCTGTTCACGGCCACACGACGACGTCGTAAGTGCGCCAATGTCCTCAATCTCGCGCACTAATTGTGCATGAGAACGCAACGTGGTGCTCTTGAAGGCCAAATGTTCCAGTAAGTGGCTCACACCGACACTATCTTCATCTTCAAAGCGACTACCAGCATCGATAAAGATGCCGAGAGTAGCCGCTTGGCCATATGTCTCTTGTGAGATTACGCGCAGTCCCGAAGACAACACAGAGATCTCCGTCTGAGGAGGTTTCAATTGACTTGCAGGCTTGAGTTTAGGCAGTCCCAGAAGCTCCTTCTCTAGTGAAAGTTGCAGCTTCATATCCTTGGGGACGTCAGGCCGTAAAATATCCTCGGGATCCACGCTCTGTGTCGGAGTGTGCGCTTGTGAGAACAGACGTGTTGGTAGCGCTAATGAGCGTTTCTCTACCAAGAAATTGTTGGACGCCCGGACAGCCACTTGCGACGCACGACGAAGTGTCTGTAGACTTCGCAGCGACATCATCTTCTCTTTTTTTAGGTGCTTGGCGACTGAGCTCCCGTCAATATTTCATGTGTCCGACACCAACAAGAGTGATGGTTAATGTATTCAACACCAAGTACATTGATAGTCGTGTACCCATAAATTAGTACAGTGGTTTTTGCTCCAGCCATTATTAAAGTCATGGCAGGCAAGCGCAAGAAGACCCATTGGGCTGTACGGCGCAAGGTCAAACAGGCGCGTCAGGACGACCAACAGGATGGTATAGAGCAGCAACATCAGGAGAAAAAGAAAGATCGTCGTGCTGATCGTTCCGATGTTGTCCATCCTGGATCGTACGCGGCGCAGCGTCAACACGACGCTTCCAACGTGGCGTCACTATTGCCTAAGCGTCGTTACGGTCTATGGGTGGCCTTTTGTGGCAAGAACTACAGTGGAATGCAGATGAATGAAGGCGTTAAAACCATTGAAGCAGAGCTAGAACGTGCTCTATTTGAGGCTGGAGGTATTGCTGAGACCAACTACGGCTTCCTACAGAAGATCGGCTGGAGTCGCGCTGCTCGTACGGATAAGGGCGTGCACGCCGCGGGTCAATTAATTTCAGTTAAGCTTCACGTGGGTGATGATGTATCTGCATTTGTTGCCAAGGTCAACGCTGCGCTTCCTCAGGATATTCAAGTAATGCAGATGGTGACAGTCACCAAAAACTTCAATGCGAAACTGACGTGCGATCAGCGCACATACGAATACCTCGCTCCCACCTTTATTTTTGGCAGTCATGCACGTCATAGAGCTTTGGATGATGCGGAGAACAATCGAGACAACGCAGTGACAAAGTGGCCGTCGGATCTGCGGGACTTGGAGGAAAGTGTTGATAACACTTTGGTGATTGACAGTACGACACTTGAAGCTCACAAAACATTTCGAATGAGCAAAGACATGCTGGAGTTACTCAACAGCACGTTGAATCAGTACGTTGGAACCCACAACTTTCACAATTTTACGTCCAAGATGGAGCCCACCAATCCTCAGGCAAATCGCTTTATCATTTCGTTTAACGCCGACCGCCCGTTCGTCCAAAATGATATGGAATGGGTGCGACTGCGTGTAGTTGGACAGAGCTTCTTGCTGCACCACATTCGTAAGATGATTGGCACTGCCGTGGAAGTTGTCTCAGGTGTTACTGACTCGTCAACTATCGAGCGTGCCATGGCGCTAACGAAGATGGACTTGCCAAAAGCTCCTAGTGTGGGGTTGTATCTGGCGCAAGCTCACTTTGAGGTGTACAACATGAAGATGGCGGACTCGATCCAGACATCACGTCCACCGCTTGATCTGAAGGATCCATCTGTGGCTAAAGCAGTTGAACAATTCAAGCGTGACTATATCTTTGACCACATAATGAAGCACGAAGAGCGCACCCGCACCTATGCGAAGTGGTTGCGAACCATGGAGGCGCTACCGTTCGACTACGTCTCTAAGCCCTATTTAGAGTGGAAAAATGAGAAGGAAGAAGAGGCCATTCATACAGACCGTGCAGGTAGGCGCGAGTTGGCAAAGGCGGCACGTACAGAAATGGATGGTATAGTTGACAAGAGAGAGGAGACCAAGGACGCAAAACTTGAAGCAGATAAAATTGCTGCTAATTGAAACGACAGCTCTTTCATCTCACGATCATTTTTCGTCAACAAAACTACGTCTTGATATAGCGGGTCGCAAGGTCTTCGTATTGGTCTTTTGATCTGCCTGCAGAATAACATGACGACGCTGCAACGGACCCTTAGGCATGCATATAGGGGGTGAATTGCTTTGTCATTTGTTCATGGTAAAAGCGCTCTGGTTTAGTCGCATGTGTGAGCCAGTAACGCCACTGCGCAACCGTTTGTGCATTCTAACAAGACAATCAAACGCGGTCCGGCTACGAGCTCACGGAAAAATACGCTGATCCGCTTCTTTTGTGTAGTGACATGCGTGTCGTGTAAAACGCAAAGTACTTTTGTCATTTACCTACGTCACAGGTCCCCGTTAGGGTGATTTCGTCGGTCGTTTTATAGGAATTGAGCTAACAAAATCAGTGATTTCTCATTTATTAACAATATTAATAGTATCACACAACCATGTCGATGTAGCACTTTAAATTGCTGGAAACGCTCTTTAATCGTTGTTCAATCTATTAGTGCAATCTCCATGAGCTACGTTCTTCGACGTGCGCCCGGCCGACTGGAGCAAAAAATGTGTCGCTATCCCATGCGTACGGAAGCGATGAAAACAGTTCGCTACCGTGGTTTGAGGCCAAATTGGTTCCGAGATCAAAACCGAGAACTTTCTCCATGGATCGACTGTCTTGACGCTCCGCAACCGGAAGAATAATGTCGTGTAGCTCTTCTACAAAAAAGTTACGTGCTTTCTCCGAGGATGCACTAGTAAGAGTTTCATTGCTTACCTCACCGGCCTTTAAGAAACCTATCGGGTCCGTCGCCCATCGAGGTGCACCTTTAACAGGTGCTGTGTTTGTCTGATCGTTGGCGTCTGTGGGCTGCAACATCCGTCTATAGCTTTCATTGTCACGCCTAATAGTCTTTGAAGTAGTGGCAGTAGAGGTCGTAGTGTCTGCGGAGCACATGAGCTCCGTGAATGATCGCTTGCGTCTTACAATCGAAAGAGCATCAGCTATCGAACGGACGCTGTTAGCAGGTGGTCGACGACTAATGAAGTCGGCCAGCTGCTGCGGATGGCACCGCACGAGGTGGTGATGGCTGAAGGTGCAGACGCTGGACTGCGTCTTGGTCCACTTGCGGAAGCCGAAGTTATTGAGTTGGCGCTGGAAGCTTGCGAACTTGCCGTGTTTGAAGTACTTGGGCAGCACTGCGATCTCCAGTCGCTTGGTGTCGAAGATCTGAAAGTACGTGCCGTCTTTGGACCAAGTCAAAATCGCTTGGTCCTCATATTGGAGGATATCGTAGAGGCTGCGTAGGAACTTGGGTACTCGCATTGTGCGGAGGGTGCTCGACTTTGAGGGACCTGCATTACGCTCAGGGAGACCAAGCTGTTGCATCCGTATTCTGTGCATCATAACGGCGTGGATAGTATATACGTAAGGGCAAGGCTGCTTGGAGGAGGTCCAATTGTGAAGTGAGGCAGGAAGTATGGCTTGCCTTCACCTTCTTCTAGCGGTTGCTTTCAGTGAGGCCTTGGCTGCACTTGCCCCAACGAAGATAAACAACGGAGTCAGTTCCATGTTGCACGTTTGCTTTACGCTTGAGGTCAGAGCTGTATGGTCTTTGCTGAACGTTGCAAGTTATTCCCGTTCGGCTAGGTGGTCTCGGATCGAGTCTCTCAGCTCGCTTTGGCCAGGAAGGTCGCCGACTGACGCATGTCATACTTTCGGCTGTCCCTCCTGGACAGATTTAGTCTCACACACTGACCAGCAAATCCTCCAGCTGTTCAACTTCAATTTGGCGCCGTGAAGCTTACGCCAACTACCTGAACCTTGGGCTCGTGATCGAGTGCTGACTAAACTATATAGACTTTCAAGCGCATTGTGACCCTTATGAGACCTTTGCGAGCCCTACCAATAACACTTTGCATCCAAGTTGCCGAGCGATGAAGGACTTTTGCTCAGAATCCTAAACTATGGAGGCTGTGCCTGTGTCTATACAATGTACAATGCAGCGATGTGGTGACTTCTGGACAGTCTAGGGTATGTGCCTTAGTCTCGTGCGCTTCTCACGAATCGCGACTACAGCATCAAACGTGTTTTTTCATAGACTAGATCACAAGACCAAAACAATGCAGAAAATCTGTTGCTAAGCTATACCCGGCATCATCAAAATGTAGCTTGGCAACAAATTTCCTCTTGATGATGCAGATTCTGCTCCCAGCTCGTGGCGGCAGGATTACCTGTACATGAAATGGTGCTTTACACGGTGTTGTACATGTGCTAATACCATCTAGGCGGTGAGGGCTTCTAACCTACACAGCTCGTCCAACAACCAAGTCCAAGCCCCGAACACGGACATCAATGTGCTGGACACCAACCCAAACGATCCTGCATGTCGACAAAGGAAAATCATAGAAGTATATTGGTAGAACATTTCCGATAGCAAAAAAGTGCTCGGGTCGCAACATGATGATCGAGCTGTACTATCTCGCGTAGTACGCGCTCTAAATGATATCAAACACCGCCTTGAGCTTAATGACGAGCTGCCAGTCTTCTTTCTGAAGATCTTCTCGAAAATTCTCTTTCAGTGCGTCAATACTCTGACGGGTCAAGCGGGACACCAGCTTGTTTTTGTGGTCAAAGTGACGGCCGTACATGACGCTGCCTTCGTTGTCTATCCGAACGGCCACCGATGCGCCCTTCTTAGCGCGGTCCACCTCCTTGTGCTCACGTTCGATGGATCCCACTTTGCCAACCAGAAACCCACCAGCAGACGGCACCACGAGAGGCGTACCCACCTTAAGGATACCCTCTTCAATGTCGACACCGAGAATGATGGGATCCTTCTTGTTGAAAACGCACTCGGGAAGGATCTTGAGCACGCAGGGAAACACAGCGGTCTCTTCAAATTCTTCACGGCGTGCCATACGGAAGTTGTCCATGTACGCCGTAAACTGATCGAACAAGTGGTAAATAATGTCAGCCGTGAAAATGCGCACGCCAAGCTCGGATGCCAGCTCAGTGGCGTCATTGTGGACCTTCACGTCAAATGCCAAAATTGTAGCGAATTCGGGCTGATGCTCGAGCTGCACAGAAGCTCGCATAACATCCTTCTTGTGTACTGGACCAATGTTAACACAGGACACCGGAATGGGCGGGTCACACGTCCGCAAGAACTCCAGAAGCGCTTCCAGAGCGCCAAGAGTAGAAGCCTGAACCAATACACCGCGGCGGGTAGCCTTCACCGAGTCCAAAATGCTTGTCAGGTCGGACATGACAGAATCTTTTAGCTCCTCGACATCATCATCTGGGCCAACCACGTGAATCTGTGTACCGGCAACAGCTTTCTCAAGACCCTGCGCGCAAATCTTCACACCCATAGCAGCCTTCATCTTTTGATGGTGGATATAATCGCCTTTAACGCGAATTTCTTTCATAGGGTGCGGAGTCAGTAATGAGCGAATAGTTGTCACAACAGGCCCATCTAATGTACACACAACAATAGTGGTGCCTTCTTCCAGTGTACCATTCACTAAAATCGTATCAATGGTCGTACCGAGACCCTCGATCACCTTCACTTCTAACACCGTACACTGCAAGATATCGACGAACGCCAATGACTTTGCCATACGCTCCTGCGTCAAACGAATCAGCATCATCAGCAGATCCGGCACACCCTCACCCGAAATAGCACTGGTAGGGATCAGCGAGACCGTGTGCGCCAAGTCTTTATTGCGCCAGTAGACCTCGGCGTTCAACTTCTGCTCAGCAAACTCCACAATAATTGCTTTCATGCGGTCCTCAAACTCGCGAATGACGTGCTCATTCTGGTGCTTAAGTGCCTCCTGAACGGGCATGTCGGGCATCGTCTTCCAGCCATAGCAACGATCGATCTTGTTAAGCGCCACAACGAATGGTGCCTTCTTTTGGCGCAGCAGGCGCAGTGATTCCAGAGTCTGTGGCTCCAGACCGTGCATTATATCAACCACCAAAATAGCGATATCACAGAGTGATGAGCCACGATTACGCAGATTCGTGAACGATTCGTGACCGGGTGTATCGATCACAAGCAGACCAGGCAGCCGGAAATCCAGCTTCATTGTCTCGTTAAGCCGAGCCGTCTTCTGTTTTATAGCCTCTACAGGGAAGAAGGTCGCACCAATTTGTTGGGTAATACCGCCAGCTTCAGCATCCTGCACCTTGGTTTTGCGGATATTGTCGAGCAACTTCGTCTTACCAGTATCGACGTGACCCATGATACAGCAAATAGGCGAGCGCAGATTGTCCAGCGACACATTGGCTCGTGCGGCGGCCTCACGGTCGCGACGACGGTCGGCAGCCTCCTTCTTTTTGCGCTCAGCTTCGAGTTTAGCCTTGGAGCGCTGATGTTGCTCCTCAGCCTCCAGACGCATCTGCTCGGCCTGCTCCTCCTGACGCTTCTTTAGTGCAATACCCTGCTGACGCAGACGCTCCTGCTCCTTCTTCTGCTCCAGCACCAGCAAATCCTCGTCGCCATCACTGTCACCAGTAGCGCTTTCTTTAGCTTCCTGTAGCTTATCTTCTAGCGAGGCCACGACATCGCTGGCCTCCCAATCCTCGTCATCCCACGCGTCTGGGGCTTCGGCCTCCTCCTGTTGTTCCCCTGCGGCGTCCTCCGCCTCCTCTTCTTCATCAATTGCCTCCTCCTTCTTCAAAACAATTTTGTTTGGCTCGACCTTCTTTAAGTGAATCTCTTTATAGTTGTTGCTCTTCTTGTTCTTCTTTTTGTTATCGATATACACGACCGTCTTCTTCTCACCAGCATATTCCGGCACGAGACCCGCCTGTTGCATGGCCTCCAATGCCGCTTGAGCCTTTGCTGCCTTTTGCTTTTGGGCTTTAGTCATATACGTGCCTTCCTTCTTCTGCCGTTCAATCTTGGCAGCGCGTGCCTCCTTCTTCTTGCGGCGAATCTCCTCCTCCGCCTTAATTTCCGCCAGTCTTTTAGCTTCCTCTTCCTGCGCAAGACGTTCTTGCTCTAGACGTTCTTTCTCTAGACGTTCCTGCTCGGCTTTCAAGGCCGTCTGTCGCTCCATTAACGCCTTGGCTGCAGCTGACATGGGTCTCTTCTCGTCATCCTTCTTAGCGTCGACATTGGATTTCTTTTTGCCCTTTTTCTTCTTCTTCTTGTCGTCCTTTTTCTCACCTCCAATGGACGAAGTCACGCCTAATGACGCTAGATAAGCAGCAGCGGCAGCAGCGGCAGCAGCGGCAGCATCCACATCCTTCTCTTGCTTCTTCTTCTTCTTCTTCTCCTCCTCCTCCTGCTGCTGCTTTGGTTCTTCCTCCTGCGTCTGCGGATGCTCTTTCGTTTTATCCCCAATAGGCATTAACTCATTTAAGAGGTCATCGAAATTGTCCGAGACGGCGGCCGTGGTCGCATTTTTCTTGACATTTTTCTTCCCCTTTTTCGGCGCCATTTTGGCTGAAGATTGGTTTCTAGAAAATATAGGAAAATTTAGATCGGTCAATCAATGGCTCACACGAATTTACCCAGTTTTTTAAATCAACCAAATCGGTAAAATCGATTTTACAAAATAAGGTGGTATACTAGGATTTGTCAAATACGTTTAAATGAAAATGCGGTATACTTACATTCGTGGAACCTTGCCTAAGGCACAAGGTTCATCGCGGTATCGGTACGAATGTCAGACCAGCGTGCGGCTCAAACAGCAGCGTCCAGCTCATCCAGTCTAATGATTAGCTGAGTGACAAAATGTGCTAACGGGTTTTTTGTAATTGGTCTTGCCGAGTCTTCAAACAGAGATTCGTATTTGGTGAACGTGTATACAATATCTGACAAACCAACATGAAGAGAACAATCTGACAAAGACCGATGGCCTAGCTGTAGTCACTGAATTACAAAGTTAGGATTGCATTGTTTGTATGATCATCACGATCAATGACATGCGCTTATTCTTGCGTGCGTGGGGTAGGAATTAGAAACAAGTAGCCATAAGATGGTAGACGTAGTAACATCCTCGCAGCCTCGCTGCGATAAAGGAGCTCGTCTCAAATCCATCATTCATTACGAGCACGCAATTACTAACAACACAATCGAACAGCTTTCTTTTCACGACCCGATCAGTCATGTAATTGTTTGTCACCGTCCCAACCGTAGAGCCCAGCGCATATATCTCGTTATGAGCTCGCTATCCTCCGCGTCAATCCGATCACTTCGTTGTCAGATACCCACTCCACAGCACTTGAAGCAAAACAAAGATAACAGCTATCGTCGCTGATTTATCAGTTATAACATTCCTAGCAACGATTCCGCTCCTGTCGCTAGATCGTCCAATCGCGTTATAGACTTCCGAGTTGATGTCCAAGTACCAGATCATTTTGGGTATACATAGGCCACTCTGGCTATCCATAGGCCACATTGGCTATCCATAGACACGTTAGTATCCATAGACCACCTGGGTATCCGTAGACCACCTGGAATCCATTTGGGCAACCATAGGCCACCTTCCTATCCATATGGCCATCTTATATATCCATAGACCACCTTGATTATCCATAGACAGCCTTCAATATCCTTCATTATCCATAACGATAATAATAACGACGTCACCACATAAAACAAACACTTCACTCCGTCCGCAGTTCGCTGGTATGGCGAAACAATGAACGCGTTTCGCCGGAGGTCCGATTTCAGGCTCATGGATATGATTTATTCAAAGGGAACGCGTGTCGCGATGAAGCCATTCGCCTGCCTGTCCTGCCACGTGTCAGTGCTACATCAAACGCCCAGTCAAAGGTGGCGAATACAAACACCGCTTGCCACGCGCACCCATTATATGCAAAACAGCTGCATAGTCGCCAGGGCTGAACTTTCCTTTTACTCGATTCACCCTGGGTCACAGAGCATCCGCCAAGTCTTCCTATCTATGCATCCTTCATGTACGAGTCCATCTCATTGTCCAATTCTTCGGCAGACTTGGATGGACCGGATTCACGGACGCTGTCGGATGCAAAGGTGCTTTCGTTAAAGAGACGCACCAACACGAACAGAAGAACGAACTATCTTACCCCTGTGTTCCCTTTTCATTACCACGTCCGCGGCGTCTGTTGCGGCGGCCCTTTGCCTGTTCGTTATCTTTGTGTCCTCTATAACAAAATCAAGCCTGTCAAAATCCATTGCCATATTTCACCGAAATGGTGGCGTATACTTGACTTACCCGAAAGACACCTTAAACTTGACATTCTTGTCGTCACTATTAAGTGCCGTTCCAAAAAGCCCGTTGCGAACGTTCTTGTCAGAGTCAAGCGTAATCTGCATCGGCTGACCATCCAGGGTACGTCCTACGATGTTTATGCAAGCGACGTTAGATTTTATATAATGGAAGCCTACAGCACTTAAACGTACCATCGTATTGCTTAATGGCCTTGTCTGCGTCTGAGCGGCGGGAAAACCAGACACGAGCAATGCCCTTCGACCGACCCGAGCGATCGTAAACGATCTCAGCCTTGGACACTTCGCCAACCGTGCCGAAAAGCTCGCGCACCTCTTCCTCCAATATGTCGAATTTAAGATTCTTCACCAGGATCTTCGTGCCGGAACTCGCCGCATCCTTACCGCCAAGACGCGAAAGGATGGACGATCCACCTAGATGTCCGCCAGGAAATTCGTCAACCACTCATCAGTATAGCCGTACATTCTACAAAAAGCAATAAGCTTTTCCTCGCACCTTTCTTACCGCCCTTGACGGGCTTTTTAATAACCACTGAGCGCTTCTTGCCGCCGCGGTTGTTGCCGCTATCAGCAACGTCGTCCAGATCTACGTCCATGTCGTCATCGTTGTCGCCGCGCTTTGAGATAGCAAGGAAGAGGCAGAAGGACACAATGCACGTGTAAAATTTCTGCACCAACGCTCTCAGCTAACAGCAGGCAGGCGCCATTGCTCCCCCAAAGCGAGGGACGACAGGGAAAACTCGTCCGTTTGTCTATCCGTCCGTCCATCGCAAAGGTAGGGAGCGAGGGTTTGCCTTCCGTAGCGTAAGGATACAAAGAGAAGGAAGAGAAAAAAGACTGAGACAGCTGCCTCTTAGCTCGTGACAACACTTACAGATCGCGAATAGGGCTGGTTCCGGCTGTTGTTGCGTCGGCGTCCGCCACGAATGGGCCCTGCCGCATCGTGATCCTTGTTGATCTTGGCCGGACGTGAGGACGGGTTAGTGGCCTTAGTCTTCTTGCGGGCGATCAAATCGTCCAGACTCATGTCGAGGGAAGCAAGGATAGACGACATCTTTTATCTTAGTCTCTAAAAAGTTACTTAAATGTAAAGAGAGTGGTAAGATCCTGCATGAACAGTATCAGAAAGGAAACAGTCAGCATTAATGAACTCTGGAAGGAATAAGTCTGTCAGAGAGAGCTTTGTTACACGCAGAGACGTCGTGGTTGAGGTCGTTTCGTACCTGAGAGTTTTTTCTTTAAATGAGCCACGAATCGACGAAAAACGTCGTTAAGGGGGGGAATGTTGCGCTACTTTTGATACCACCTTCAAGCGACATGTGATGTTGGCTATACTGTAAATATATTAACAGTCCAAAGAACTCAGACGACCTAAACGATGAAGACGTTCCTAAGCGCTGCACTGTGTGGACTCATGGCTGCGACGTCAAACGTGTCAGCGTCTACCATGTTTGTTCACGTGCCGCTCGTTCTTTGGTCCCAGCGCCCGTACGTTTTGCCTTTTCTTTGCTATCAATAAGTAATGGAATCTTACAAGGTTTTGCCTGGTATTTTTACAGCATTTTTGCCGGATCTAACGCATATCTGAGCTATGAAATGAATGAAGTAGCAGTTGCGTCGACCTTAAAGCTTGTCATGACACGAGAAATGAGCACTGACAGCAAGGTATATGATGAACGATATGTTGGTATTGAGTACGGCTGGAATCTTTGCAACTGATGTCATGTTGCATCTACTACAGGGCGTGTTGAGCACCAAGAAGACTTTTTTTGAGCATGCAGAAATACTGTGTTTGTTTCTATTGCCTTCGCTAGCCTTGGAGGACATGGCGCAGCTTTCGATAGGGACAGGCTTCTTTGTGCAGAACGCTGTCCAAAACTCAGTTTCGTCTGTGGTCATTCCTCAGACGACGCGCTCAAAGCCTCTTCTCTCCGAGATGACGAACGTGAAACCGCACATTGTTGGGGTCGAAGACTTGGATATGTTTATTGCGTCTGCGGAGGGAAAGATGCTGTTTTCTAACGGCAACACGGATTTACTTGTGGTGCAGCTGCCAGAAACAATGCCTCTGTCTGACGTCGATGCTGTCGTCAAGACAGCATCGAGCAACCTTAACGCCGCATCAGGTGGCAAGACGGACTTTGCTTTCACTGGTAACGAGGCTACATTGGTGGAGCTTGAGGAGCCGCTGGCCCGACGTCTTACCGCTCAAGCTAAGGCCAAGACGAACTCCACCCAGGCTGCAATTCTATGCGAAGCAGGTTACCTCGTCGGATTCAGCGCAGTAGGCAAGGCCTACTGCTTCTCGCACTACGTGAACATCACACCCGACATCATGGCAGGTCTCCTCTTCGGCCTCCTTTTCATTTTTATGGCGTACATCGGTCTAAGTGTGCTGCATCAGATCCAGACGCCACAACGATACCCATTACAAGGAGCGCCACGCGGCAAGGAGTTTTAAGGCGTCGATTACGGGCTTAAAGGTGCAATACGCGCACTGCGTTGAGAAACGAGATGCATGCAATGAAAATTATACATGTTCCTTTGTTGGCGACGTCTAGCTAATTGCTTCTAGTTAGCGCGCGTGTCCGGCAGCACTCGAATATGAAGCGAGCAGCCTATGCACGACACCACGTCCACACCGTCGTGTAGCTCGTCTTCTGTAATTTCATACAAGTCTCCGCAGCGGCACTGGTGCGTGTAAATCACCTCGTCGTCCTCGGCCTGCAAAACCTCCCGCTGCATGTCAGCGAGAGAGACCTCATCAGACACCACCACGACCTCCTGCTCTCTCTTACGCACTAGCTTATCTTGCTGTAGTTCATCGTCGTACTGCTGTCTTAACTCTGCGTTCCGCAATGTTTCATAGGCCGCTTGCACGCTCAGAAACTGCTGTTCATTCTTAGCTACTGAGTCATCAGCATCCGAGCTGACGTCTTTCAGGCGCTTGTCTGGATGGTATTTACGGGCCACTTGGTGGTATGCGTGCCGTAATTCGTCAGTGCTGCAGGTGACTGCTACGCCAAGCACTTCATAGTAAGAAGGCAACGTCATGGAGTAAATTACTTGCAATAGTCTGCCCTTACACGAATTCCGTTCTTTGCATCCTGTCTGTGAGGATTGGCACCGAAAGGTTAAAGCCCTACCCCTATTTCAGTGATATTTTTTAAAAAACTGCAGGAATGTATATATGTGCAGTGCATACCGAAATGCATGTATACTACCGCGAACTATACATTACTTAACCCAACGGGGTCGATGTTGTTAAATAAAGCGCCTCGGCCAGCAAATATCACGTTGGTGGCAGCTTCAGAAGCTATGCCAAGTGGTGGGTTCACTACAAAACGATTTCGAGTTTCGGTGATCGCAGAATTAAAAGAGTTCACAGGGCGAGACAGAGACGAAGATCGAGCCAGATGGTGGATCAGTAAAGTCAAATCTGCTTTCTTACGTGATCAAGCTCCTGACAACGAAAAATGTCTCGTATTTGTAGATCTGTTGACGGGACCGGCATGGAACTAATATAGCCAGCTGAGCCGATCGACTCGTCATCACTGGAAATCTCTATTGGAAAGTTTCATGATACAGTATGGAGGGTATGGCGTATCTGTCGGAAGACAATACTATCATGCAAGTAAACAACCAAATGAAACTTCATTGGAGTATCTGTATCGGCTAAATGTAAAAGCGATTAGAGCAGAAATTCCGATTCGAGAAGGAACGTCAGCCACCAGACGAGAACATGTGGAGCATTTTATCGAGACACTGGATGATCGCGATCTGGCGGAAAAGTTGACTTTATTACGTTTGAACGATGCTGATGACATGGAAGGAACTCTACAGGCGTATCAACGTATGGAGATTCGTCAAGGCAAGGCATCGATGGGATTCACTAAATTTCGTCAACGAGCCGCCCCTGCACCCGATCAAGCGTCAACTAAACCGGCTCGCGCAGTGGGAGCGATCCATATCGAAAACGGTAACAGTGTATCAGAGTCGGAATCGAGTGGATCTGAAGTAGAAGTGTACCGACGCCGTGTGTTTTCCGCGACGACGCATGCTCCGGCAAAAAAGCCGAGAGATTATCGTGATCGACAGAAAGAGATCGACAATCGTGATCGACAGAATGTGATCGATCACGGCATATGTCATGGTTACACTGACCCACCAAGAGCCTGCAACCATTGCGGATCGAAGAAACATGACGATTGTGGGTGTTGGAAACGGTTGACCTGTCAGAAATGTGGGCGCAAAGGACATCCTTCAGACAAGTGTTTTTTCGTCCTGCCTGTGGAGAGATGCACGAAGGGGGAAATTGCCCGATGGAAAAATTTTGTAATTTGATTCGCCAATGGTACGTGCCGACCAAACACGCTGGGATGCTCCCGCCGAAGGCAGAGGAGATGTTAAGCTAGGACACTCGCCAGGTTGGAATCTGGTACGAGACGAGCGTTCTAGGCTTTGCATTTATGCATTTGTTGAAAAGGGATTTACGGATCAAGAAGGTAACAAGCGGATCGATCCGATCAATACATGTGAGGATTCAAGTTATTTGCGTTACATTTCAAGTGTCGCGAAAGTTGACAAATTTTCCCGATCGCCTGCTAAGATGTAGCTCGACCTAGCGCCAGACGAATCAAGGGAATATTGGAAATACCACGCCCCAGGAAAATGGTTCAAGCAAGCTAAGTCAGTAATCCGAATCAACCATGAGAAGTCTACTATGCTATTTGATTCTGGAGCCGAAGTTTCGATCGTCGACACCACCTTTGCGCGTAAGGTAGGATGTGTCATTGACGAAAGCCAGAGGCAAGAATGTGTGGGAATCGGTGAGAATACCTATATGACCAAAGGACGAACCAAGATAAAAATCACATTGAATGGATCACTAGTGTACTATTTTGATGCCTGGGTAGGTGATCAAGTTGTGCAAGAAGCAATCTTGGGTATGGATTTCATGGTCCCGGCTGGGATTCGCTTGGATCTGGCAGATGGAACACTTTGTCTGCCTGATAAAGTTAGAATTCAATTGGCTGGACGAAGGCCTCCATACCAATCGAACAGACAGCCGATCACGATCAACGATCAACATGTGGTGATCCCAGCAGGTGGATCGACGGAAATACGAATCGGTGCTGGTGCACCGAAATATTAGCTTTGGGTGAGACGAGATACCAACAGTCACAACAGGACCGGGGAAGATTAAATATCTGCAGCTAACTAATCTTAGTGATCGAGAAGTGATTGTGAATCACGGAGCTCCAATAGGTTGGTGGATGGCTGCGGATATGATACCTCGATCACCTGGATTTGTTTCGTTGGGGTCGCGTCGATATAATGAGTGGCAGACTCTGGCCTATGAAGCAGCTACAGATCGGAAGGAAGAGCTCACTGATGAGCCAACAAGACCCATAGTTGATCACCCATCTTATCCGCTACCGACTAAAATTTGATGCGTCCAAGGAAGGGAGAGAACGAGAAGATCGCAAAAGTGGAGAAGATTGCATCTCAATCGGATAAAGGCATGATCAACGTGGGAGTAAATCAAGATGGTACAGAAGATCAATGTTATCGGGAAAGTGAAGATCATCAGTCAAGACATTTGCGATCAATATGCTGAAAGAAATCGACAAGGTGGATTGTGTACAAGATCGATTAGATGAAACAATTGGTGATATGACGAGGACAAAACTCAAAATTAGCGATCAAGACATAAAGGACCAAGATCAAGAACAGTTTACATGTGTGATCGATGCGACCAGAAAAGTGGGAGAGGTCGGTCGAATACCAGATCGATCGGATGAAGCAATTGAAGGTCTGACAAAGATCGGAGTCGACGATAACGATCAAGGACAGTCCTATCGAGTAAAAAATAAGTCCACTGCGATCGCAAACAAAGATGTCCCAACAGAAAAACCATCATCTGAAGAAGAAGTATATTCTCACGAGAGTGGTGACCTGTTTGCCGAAGATGTCGATCAGCATATGACGGTGTTGCCAGAAATTGTGATGTCTACGGTGAAAGTATCAATCGACGATATTTAAGTTGGCGACCCTGGAATATCATAATAGAAGATTAAGAAAATCTACGACAATTAATTTGGAAGAATTGCCACGTACACATAGGGAAAGGTAATGCCCTACCTCCCGCAGCACGTGGAGCAGTGTGTGACATTAATGTTGGAGGAGCTAACCCGATCGCGCATAGATTGCGACCTTTGGCACTTAAATTTCGGAAGAAATTAGCTGATTTGATCAAGTTATTATCTGCCAAAATCATTCGGCCATCTACATCGCCGTGAGCCTCACCAATTGTAGTGATTATTAAGAAGAAAGGCGAAGACATTTGATTATGTATCGATTATCGTAGGGTAAACCAGTTGACCCGATCAATGGTATATCCTATGCCGCTGATCAGTAAATTACTACAAGACATGGATAAAGCGATGTGGTATTGTTCCTTAGATATGGCGAGTGGATTTTGGGTGGTTGAGATGACGGAACGAGCAAGGGAGATCTCTGCATTTATTACGCCGTATGGATTATATGAATAGTTACGTATGACTTTTGGCTTGAATAATGCTCCTCAGATTTACCAACGATTGATTGACAATGCTTGTATGGAATTCTGAAAATTGATACCAGCTCTGATCCCATCACTATCGAGTCATTAAAGAAGATTAACGTGTTTACCGACGGTGAACCGAATACGGATCCAAGACCGTCAGTGCTAGGTTGGCGCTCATATATTGATACCCGCCACATCGTGGACCTCCTTGTATGAGAAGGTGGAGCGTTTGTTGGAGGCGTGCGATAAGTGGAATTTGTCGATTAGTGTGGCCAAACGTTTCTGGGGACGTCGGAAAGTGGATTATCTGGGTCATCAGGTTTCGTTTGCAGGATTAAAAGATCACCCCAAGGATTTGGGATCACTTGTAAATATACCGTTCCCTTAAAACGCTGCGATCGATGCAATCATTTTTGGGGAGTCTGAATTATTACAGTCGGTTCATTAAAGACTTTGCATTTATGCATCTGTGCTCTATGAATTACGGGAGGCTGCCTTCCATGAAATCCGCCGCGCTAGTGACATTTCGACAACTATAGCCGATGCCGGACCAGAGTGCGATCGCAATTCCTCCAGAGATGGCTACAAAATTGATCCCTCCGGAGATGGATACAAATCGATCAGGAACTCATTACTGGGGACGGTCACAATACCGAAGAATGGAATCGTTGGGAAAAGGATACAATTGCATTTACTCTGTTGAAGGCTAAAATAGCTGCAACACCAATCTTGATACATTTTGATCCGGATCGATCACCCGTAATTGTGGTGTACACCAGCAAGTGGGCGATATCGGCCGCGTTACTGCAAGAGCATGATGGAGTGTTTTGGCCGGTCACTCTAGTCGGACGTTGAAGCCTAATGAAGTAAATTACGGGATGGTCGAAAAAGTGGTCGTAGCCTCCCTCCGAATTTTGGAAATTTGTTACGCTATGTTGGTCTCACGTGCGATTGTAGTACTTACGAATTATTCCAATCTGGCTTGGTTGTTGCAGTCTTTCGGGTCTCAACGGGAGACTAAGCAGATGGGCTGCATTACTTTCGAATTGGACATTGGAGATCCGCCGAAGTGAGAAGGGCGAAGATGAGATATTGGGTTACTTGCCGCGAGTATAACTCCCCGTGAGGAAGTGGATGGAGTATTGATCGCGATCGATCCACGGAAAAATCCCAGGCAAACAATGAGTATGCCATCACCCACGGTGGAATTAGGAGAAAGCCTCCTGGTTGCCAGTTTCGATGGATCGGCTGGGTAACGAGGAAGGGCGGAGCATACTGCGCGTTTCTAGGAAATTACCAATATGGACGATCGTAGCTGCCGACTCTGAATTTGCGACTTATTTGACGGTGAACGAAGCAGAATATTGATGGCTACATCTCAGTTTCGATTTGCTAGCTGATCAGACCAGGGGACGTGTAAATATATGCGGAGATTCAAATTTGGTGATCAGGCAAATGCGTAGCGAGATCGACCGCAAAGCACCCG